TTGTTGGTTCCACAAAATAGTTATTTGGTTATCCCGACTTGTCTCAACTGCCTTCGGGATGTGTTCATACCAATGTTTCTTTTCTAGCTTTACCCCATCTTTCCTTCATGTGTTAAAATGTAACTGAGTACACACACGATCATGTCGTTGTATATACTGCACTGGACATCCAGACACGACGTGATCTGTCGTCTCATCAAATTGCTGACATAATCTGCATTTGCTGTCTGTATCTTTTTTTAATATTTTTGTTGCATCTCATTATGAGTCAGTTTCCCGATCTACGTAAATGCAGACCACGCCCTTATATCCTGTATCTTGAACAGCCATTCTCCATCTAGACGTAGGCCTCGTTATTAACACTGCAGTGCCCAAAAGTGGGAGGTTCCTACTAAGGCTAACAAAGTTACACTTACACTTCTGATCATTTTACCCGCAAACTAATCTTTATATGTCGTGAATTCTGGTCTGCAGTGAATTAATTAATTAATTAGTGTCTTGCTACCTCTGCGTAATGCACTGTGCAATAACAAAGTTTTTATAGCCTAAAAAGAAAGCGTAACTTCATTAACGATGTCCTTGTTTTCGTGTTGATAGTCACAAGGTCAAGTGTACGGTAGTTCTCCAATCAAAGGTCTCTCTCTCTCTCTCTGCCTTAGTCACAGTACAGTCGAATGTCTGAGACTAAAACAAAAAAGATGTAAGTTGATAGGTTAATTAACGATTCTGTAATATTCGAACTTTCACATGTCAGATGAAGGTTGCAGGTTGGGGGCGGCAATGTCATTAACGGTGTTAACAATAATTAATAACGTCACACGTAAGAACGAGCAAGTTCAGAGTGCACGTCGATCTGTTTACCTGTAAATCCGTGATGGCATTTAATCGACGAAGGTGACGGGTTAGCGCCGAGGGCAGTTGATGTAGTAAACGAAGTGACGCTGGAACGAGTTTGTTCTACTGTTGGCGTCATACCACCACTGCGCCATCTTCGTTCATGTGTCATCTGGGGGTGTTGAGTGGACCCGTTAGCTCCGCAGAGACGCAGTTTCACTCCATGGGAGTTAAAACAGGAAGACTGGACAAGGCAGTTCACACGCAAACTTTCTTCGTAAATTATAAATTCTTAGACAATATTAGTTTCGAAATGTAAAAACCACGTGGTCTTAATTCCGGATAAATTATGAGTCATTGCATTATAACAACCCTGTCAGTAGCTCAGACGGAAAGTATCGGATGATTAATGAATTGCAAAGTATGTGAAAGGAAGTGGTCGTGGCCTAACCGAATGTAATCTTTTCGTATATGCCTGGAATGAGTGAGGAAAACCACGAATACCTTAGTGAGGATTTCCAGTCTTCAAGCTGAGATTTGAACGCGGGGCCGCTAGACAAAGAACCCGGAGTTCTAAACACTTGTTCGCTACTTTCAGCACGTCGCTTGTACGAATTCCCTCTCCACTGGCTTCGCTTCATTTCGTTCGTGCCAAATAATTTCTAAAATTTATTTAATGTTGACTCCGAAGGTATTCTTTGAGTCTGAATGTTGTTACAGGGACGTTTTCCTATTGGCAAAGCCATTAACTGCTCTCCAGAGCGGGTTTATAAAATCCAAATGTCGCTTTCACTGCTAGCTGTCTTCCCGTGTCATCTCGAGTTTCAAGTTTCACTTTTGACATTATGGTACACCAGTGAAGTTCAATTTCAAAATAAAAGTGTCCAAAATGTGAATCCAAAACGAGGGTGAATGTTGATGTGCCGCGGTAAAACCACGTCTCATAAATCTTGAACTAAAGAAATCGCCACCAGACGACGCCGAATTGCCACTTCGAATTAAATATGTACACCACACCACACTCTCTCAAAATAAAGAAATTTCCTGATGCAACAAATCCTTTTGAAGCGTTCTGCAGGGATGGCTTCGGGTCAGAAGCGAACGCAAGAGTTAGAATACGTCCCAACATCGCCCCAGGTTAATGAATGAATTAATAATACAGTACCTGTGTTACGAGTGACGACGAATAAACACGCGACTTATGTCTTGAAGGCAAGTTTGCTTCTCCCTAAAATCTCCGGCGGGCTGCGTGATTACGCACAGTCGAATGAAACGAGACGGTGATTATGAACCACCGTCCGTGTTTGATGAAACGTAGATGATAAGGAAGTCATAGCCGACTTCAGCGGAGACAAACCGGTGGTCCGTGGGTCATATCCCACCCGAGAGCACGAACCAGACCCGTCAAATTATTTGCTACTGGAAGACCGTTTACTCCGAAGGAGATTTTAAATCGTTCTCGCTATACACTGCTCGTAAAGAACGCACATTGCAAATTTATACACATTTCAATAACATTTACGTCGGTAATTTAGTTTCTGAATAAGTATAGTTAAAGAACACGAAGATTGGCTCTTAGTTTTGCAAAAATTGTGCTAGAAGGGGGTTCTTTGCCCATCAGCAATGGAGAAAACTGCATGAAACCACGGGGATAGACAGGCACTGCGGTTCCGAATTGGAATCTCGGCTGGAAGCATTCTGTTCTTTCTGAGTCCCCCCCCTTCCAGTTGTCCAGGTGAACATGACAGATTCAGTAGCTGTTATTGCCTTGTGTGCTGGATAAATACGCGATGTGACACCTGGCAGCGCGGTAAATGTAACCGAATCGAACTGAGTACTCATCGAATGCAAGTCAGAACCTTTAAGTCTTAAGCTAATCTGGAAAGTCATACGTAATTAGAGACGAGCAAAATACGGTCAGGTGAAGTTGTAATGCGCGTACTATAAGGCGTTAGGAGAACTGGCAGTAAGATATCATCATCCTGACTGCACTTAAATGTGTACTTGGTCTGTCCATCTTTTCTTCGGTCGTCCTAGCAGTCTTTTGCCTTCTGGTTTATCTTGTATGGCAGTGAGAATCCGCTGATTCTTAATATCGGTCTACAGCGGAATTAGACATTGGTAAATGGTCGGCTTCCTCTTGTAGCCGTTTGATTCCCGAGGGATGTTAACGCTAATAGCCGTTGGAATAAAGATGGTCTGGACACAGTGGTGAACATAAAATTCCCCTGCAGGGAATCGAACGGTGGTCGCTTAGCCCATAACCAGTTACTTTACTGGCGTCATGATGAGCGGAGAGTGTGTAGTTCTCACGGAGGACAGAACAATTGACAGCCAACCAACGGGAGAGCTTTCACGTCCTGCCACTGGGCGCTTCTTTCGCAGTCAAGCGGTGGGGGTGATTCTCTGCCGCTTCGCGCTGTTCCGCTGTTTGTTTGTCCTGCAGAAGATACTTGTCTTTGTACCTGGTGTGTGGCGGGCTCTGTGTGGTCGGTGCTTCTGAAGTTCCGTTGATCCGACTAACAGCTTGTTTAAGCACGTGGTTCGAATGTCAAGGTGTGATTAAGTTCTGTAAACTTTGCACGCGTGCTACTGCTCTCAGCAACTCGTGAACGGAGTGAGGTTATAACTCTTGAAATTATCTACAGTAACTTAAGGTAAGGCTTTCTTGGAACGTTATTCTGTGTGAAAATTCAGTCTGCTGTTTGTAATTAAATTAAATACGTGTAGCAGAGTCCACGAGACGCTAATTGTCGCTTAGTTAGTCAAGAAATTTCCCGCGTTTTTGGAACTCAAAGGTTCATAACCTTGTTTACAGAGTCCCGCCACTGGTCCATAACCTGAGAACATTATAAATGAGTTAATTGGAGACTTTTACATAGTTTTCCACAGAACTGCCCCATTAAACGTTGTGTTGTCAAACGTCAAGTGACTTCTCTGATGAGCTTCATTGTTTTTTACGGTCCTTTAGTGGGGATGGCCGTGGGAAATTACGCATACCGTGGTGGCCAATCTGTCGTTTTGTGGGAAAATACTGTTTGTTATGACTGCTGCTGATACACGTCGAACTTGCAATCTTCAGCGTATCTACTGTTGAAACGATATTAATGACATGAAGCGATGCTGATGTACATTTTAATTGTAGTTTAAGGCTGTACAGGTTTCACTTATTAAAAGGTCTGAAGCTTTTCTCTTTGCATTACGCCTGGTTGCCTAATTCTCACACTCGGCGTTCTTCTGTTTTATTCCGGACGTTGCTATGCCTTTAGTAGGATTTAATCTATTGTTTTCGTTGATTTGTTACGAGTATATATGACGGATATTTGCTTTAGATTTTCCTTTCCAGTATTTCTGACTTATTTAACGACGTCAGTAGCCCCGATTATAAGTACCGAGTAATCAGTTTCAAAGGATAGGCCTGTGGAAGGGGGGGGGGAGTTTTCGTGGCGCAGTTTAACTACATTCGAACCAGGGACTGCCGAGTACGAAGCACGGGTGGTAAACATTCGGCCGCGACGTCGTACCAGAAGTTCGCTAATGTAATAATCTTCCTTTCTGGGTGCAATTATAATATTAAAAAATCTTTAGTGACGAGAATAATAAAAATTTAAATTCTTAGTGTTTCAGTCATGCCTTTCAAATGCTATTTGATATAGAGCGATTAGAATTCTTATAAATCAGTAGATTGCGGTTGGGGGTGGGCGTGGACGCAGCATCCAGACGTTAGGGCAGATTTAACTGCGAGTGGGCTGAACAAGTAGGGTTTCGGGTTGCTTGTGGTGCGCAGGCCCCAACCTCTGCACGGTCACGAGCGTGCAATGAGAGTATATGACGAGTAACTTTTTCCTCGCGAGAAAAGAGTGGCCTAGGAGAGGCCTGTCTGCTGAGATCTCTGCCATTTGGACCAGGCCAAAGCCGAACGTGCCTGTGCTGCCCTCAAAGACTTGGCTCTCTCCAATCGTTATGCTCCTTGGTTCTTGATTTACCTACTGCAAACACCCGATACCCAGGAAGGCTATGATCTGATGCGAAGAGGCGACGACTTTTCGTTCATTTGACTTTCCTCAGGACGGATGTTAACGGGATGGGGTTATGTCTGACTACTGCATACTTTAACATCACAGTTTCTGTCATCATCAAATAATTGCTTTTGTTTAATCTAATGGGTTTAATAAGAATAAAAATAATTCAGTTCCGTTAGTTTATTGTACAGAGTGTTTGCGAAAAGCGAAGAGCTTATGAGTGGCAAACACCAAAGACATTTTACATTAAGAAGGAACATATTAAAACGTAAAATCAACTTAGGCAATTTTTTGTGCAGAGAAAGTGTTCTGGAAGGAGATAGTGTTTTTTGCTAAAAATGGAATACGGCCAAGATGTTTAGTTGTCCCTATTCAAGCATTATCGTTGCATAATTTGCCTTTATACTGTAATCGCTGCTGTATGCGTTTTACGTTTGGCTTGATCGCTCACGCTGACTTATCCGCTCTTCAGAACACTACAGTAATTCTGAAAGAGGCCTATCTCTGTGTTACTTCTGAAAGCTTCTTATTTGCCATTACTCTCAGTTTCTTAAAATTACTTCAGCAGATGGAGGGTGTGCACACTGCATATTAAATATATTTTTGTACGTGTTCCTGCGAGTGACGTATGTCTTCCTTACGTACCGCTGGCCATTAAAGACAGTCTCATCCACGTAACAGACGAAGATCTTCAGCTGTTCTGCATGGTGTTAAACGGTTGAATTACTATGAATCGTACCAACATTCCAAGCTGCCTTTGACGATAGTCGTCGGTGAACGCAGAACGCATTGTTATCCAGGATTTAGGTCTTGACGATAGAACGCATTGTTATCCAGGATTTAGGTTAAGTTAAGTTAAGAAACTCGGACGGTGCACTTACTCGTCTCTCTGAGGTCTAGCGTTCTTCAGCGGTGTGTGTTCAAAAACCGGAAGATCGCGGCCATTTTAAAGTTTACAGTGTATCCTATTCCCTACGCTAAGTAGCAACAGAGAACTTTAAGAAATATTTGTATACTGCATTACAGTTCGCGTCTGTCGATTAAAAGTGTTATTGAGAACTGTTTGTCACTTAATAAATTGTCTTAAGTAGGTTAATGACAACTCCACCTCATTACGCTGATTACCAGATCAGCTTTATTTCTGACTCAGAATTGTTGCTTCTTTCATCGTCAATCATGCCTCCTCAAGTCCAGCTTCCTTCCAGAAAAGAAATTCGCTACTTCGTTGTCGTCCGATAATTTTCCGTGGGATCAAATCAGAGCGAGAGAGAGAGGGGGGGCGGGGCGAGAAATGCGAGTAGAATTACGGTCGGAAAGGGAGACACCACTTAGAAGAATTAGGTGCAGACGGGAGGATAATATTAAAATGAATCTTAAGAAATAGGGTGTGAAGTGGACTGCATTTATATTGACAATGCCGGGGTACACTGGCGGACTCTTGTGAAGAATGCATTGAACCTCTGGGTTATTCAGAAGGTGGGATTATTATTTTATTGTGAGCGACCGAGTGACTCAGCTGTTTAAGAAAGACTTTGTTCCGTATAATTGTGATCTGATTCAAACGTAAAACGATGTATTAAACCAGCAAATTATTTGTGCGCCATTTCAGATAGTGGGCTGTCGAGATAAGAAGCCGAGATTCGCTAAGCGGGTCACAGTTTAGCGGTGGGCCTATAGACTTGTTTTCAACAGGTACCGGCTTCTAGTCTCGGTCTGCTTGCCACTGAAATTTCCCTCGTTTCGTTAGTCTAATGTTGATATAATAGGCTGATTTGAACTAGGTAACAACCGCTTCCTCTCTAATCCTTACCTTGTTCATCTTTCATGTTCCATTCTTATTGTACGCGATGGGTTTAATATTTGTAACGCGAGAAGCACTCGCTGTCGGTGACAGATTTAGACAAAATAATATGAGTCGATGCTCTGCTGTTGATCTATTGGAAATTTGTGTTATTTTTACTAAGCCGGAAGGAGTGTTGAGATTGGATTGATCAAATAGTCGTATTTGCTGGCGTGCATGTGTGGAGATCAGAATTAGCTTAGGATGTGATGATTACACATTCGGTCTGTCGGCCCTGTTTTACCCATATATGAGTGAGAATTCGTTTGGAATTCTAAAGTGAATGGTCATTGCTCTGTGCGTGTGGTTGACTGAGGAAACTTACTGCCCTGTATTTACTCCGATCTCAGATGTGTACTTAGTGTTCAGCGTCCCGAATCCGGTGCCAGATGATGATGGTGATATATTCGGATGAGGATTTGGAGGCTTCTTCGGTGATATGAGATCAAGGTAGCTCAATGGTTAGTCTTGAGATACTCATCCGAGGTCGTGGTAACTGTCACGAAATGACAACGCACAGGCTTAACTTTAAATGAGAGACGCACGGGCTTGGCGACGGTACCCGACGAGGTAACTCACAAGGATCTCGAAGATCCACTTACCTCGTTAGGGCTACAATGAGCTTGTATGCCGAACTCCAGTGGCAGTGCTCAAAATTGTTTTTAAGTTTAAATTTAGAAGTTTAATTTCAAAATGAAAGCGTCCAAAATGTGAATCGACTGTATTTGTCAGTTTACGACAAAATCCAAAACGAGGGTGAATGTTGATTTGCCGCGGTAAAACCACGTCTCATAAACCTTGAACTAAAGAAATCGCCAACAGACGAAGCCGAATTGCCACTTCGAATTAAATATGCCTTGTAGTAAAATATAAGTAATTTTGCCATTGGCTGAATTTTGGGTTGGAGGTTATAGCTTATCGGCCCCCGAACTGACAAAGACGCTTTCACCCCGAAACACCACAATTTTGGCTTCTCTCAGCCCTACTTCAGAAACATAAAATTGGTAGTGAAACCGTGTTAAGTAAATTAAGTGAAAAGAAATTCATAACGGAGATTGTGGACTAAGTAACTGGGCCGACAAGGGTCATGTTGACCTCGGTGTGTGAATGAAACACCCACTCCCCAACACAAACAGTTCATAATCGCCGTAACGTGAGGGGCGTCATGGAGCAATAATGAAAGCTACTGGGAGATCCGCGGGTTCAGTGCACGGACTGCAGGTACTTTACATGACCACGGGGTCACGGGGTCAAGGCTTTCACCGGGAACTGGATGCTTCGTCTGAAGGTCAAATTCCCCAAAAGTGTTTTAAGTAATGAGGACTTAAATTAGTCCCACTTTGGCGTCGATCTTTGTGACCTCGCATGCTGGGGTCAGAGTTCGAATCTCATTCTGGATGCGGAAAGCTGTTCCCCGTTTTCTGTATCGTTTTGTTATGATACAGAACTTGTGATGGGCCGATCCCCTCTCTATGGAGTCATAAGTTTCAACTTGTTAATTCCGAGCGGAGCGGACCAGATCCGGGTTTGGAGCCCAGGACCAGTCACCCAATAGTGTAAATTCATCAACTTAATGAGTAGATACGTACCTTGTGACCGACGAGGTTGATGTGGCGATGGCGTCCCACGGCGACCTGGCGTGCCTGGTGCTAAATTCTGCCGAGCTGCGTTTACGTTCGGTGGCATTCTTCAGTCTGCCAAGTCACTGACGGAGTAGTGTTTCCTAACCTAACCTGTCCTTCAATATCAACAACCACTCACCGGAAGTCACATAATCCGTTATCCCTGCAGCCCG